CGGGGAGAGCTCGAGCAAACAAGGCGAAGTCGCGACCTCAAACTGAAGGCAAGGCAAGTTGGCGTAAAGAAAATGAGGCCTAGGGCCCTCCTATTTATAGCCACCATGCCCAAAAAACCAATGGTCTTGATGAAAGCAGATCCAACGGCTTATAATAAAGCCGGTTGCATGTCCTCCGAGACTGAAATAAAGCTGGATACACGTCTTCCGAAACTGAAGGCAATTTGGCGCATTTTTTGGCGCCCAAAAATCTAGAAGTCACCTGACATCCGCACTTATACATCATGCAATCAGTCAACCTAGTTTTAATTGTGGGTCAAATCCACCCATCACTTCATGAACTCCCCGCGCTAGAGTAAGACCCTTAGCCCGAGGAGTGGGGGGCAATTGATGGAGGGTGATTTGACCCGACCTCCTAACTAAGGGACACATGAATATGACTCGACGTGAGTGACAGCTCAGCATGATAGCTTGGCCACAACTCAGCGTAATGAGCTCGCTGAATCCCCAGCAAAACAGCTCGCCACAGGATAGCTCACTACAGCCCGCTACAGAACGACTTGTTGCAAGGAAGCTCGCTATTGGAGCTCGCTACGGAGGAGCTCGCTATCGGGGAGCTCGCTACAAAGGAGATCGCTATTGAGCAACCTGGAGTCTTCGGGAAACTTCTTATCTGACAAGACCGTGCTTGTCAATCTGCTCACACGTCTCTTGTCTAGCGGCACAGCACCTGGCAGCTCAGAGGACTGCGCCCACGTCTCACGTCAGGCGGTGTCGCGCATGCCAGCTCTGCATAACGTCTCTAAAGTGACAGGATCGTACCCTACGACGGATACCTGCGCCAATCGAATCAGCCTGACGAATAACGGCTGTAATAGAGAATTAGAGGCGGTTACACCCGATTTGATAGAGCATTAATATATAAGGGCTCCGACCCCCAAGTAAGAGGGTAATTTGAATTTTTGTAATTGAGTAGTGCGCATCTCCACTCTTAGCTCGTTTTCCTTTACTACTCTCTAAGCTTTCCACCTAGTTCTAACTTAAGCATCGGAGTGTTCCCGCTGGGTGAGCTCCCCGGGAATCCTTCATCTTCTCCTTCTCAGGTGCTGTCTGTTGCCAGCTAGGAGTGAGGCCCCTGCCAGCTAGGAGTGACCAGATCGTGCTACATCAATAAACATAATTAAAATACTATAAATAATTAAAAATATTGAAAGTTAAGAATATTTTATATAAATAAGGGTAATTACTAAAAATAATTAAAAAGTACAATTAATAGTATTTTCTTATTAAAACTACCAAAATTTATTAAAAAATACTCAAGACAGAAGTGATTGAAAATATTGAAAATTAGCTATGTTTTTAATTAATTATGGTATTTTTTAGCTATAGTGACTAATATGAAAAAGTAAATGAGGATAATGCTGAAAATTATTACAAAAACTCATACGAAAAAATTACTGAATAATAATGAAAAAAACCAAAAATTAATTAAAAATTTGTAAATTCTAAAAAACCTAAAGCTTAATTAAAATACAAAAATAATTAAAAAATTAAATTAATTGTATTTTATTGCAAAAATGCTGAATAATAAAGAAAAAAATAATGTATTTTAATTATTAATAGTAATATAATTAACAATAATTATTTTTAAACTGATATTATCAGTAATTATAATTTAAGCTATAAATAGTAGAAAATTACATTTAATTACCAAAAATTTATATTTAATTACCAAAAAATTACATTTAATTAGTTTTAACCAAGAAATTAGCAATATTTTTGAAAAAATGATAATTTCTAGAAATTACTGTATTGTAAATAAAAATACGATAATTTAATAATTACATTATTTTAATAGCTTACAATATTTTAAAAATTTATAATAAAAAGTAACTAATCATTTATAACTTAACCTAACCTAATTAGATCTATAAATTTTCAAACTCAAGCAACTATTTTCTTTTGAGTAAGGTCTAGCTGAGATATGCACCATGCCCACACATTATGAAGGATAATCAGATCCGAAGTCTAATTAGGTATCAAACTTTTGGAGTCCAATGATGGCTTTAGCGGATAGGGTCCAAGCTAAACAACCCCTGATAAGCTCAACTTGGAAGTTATATGCATATATGGTAAATATTGTTATATAATATTTAAATAACAAATTTTATATTTATATATATAGAAATTTTACATATTTTTTTTATACTAGACTAGAATTAGATAAAAATTTTAATTTTTAAAAAACCATAGTTTCATAATTAACACAAGCCTCTTTATCAGTAAAAAATGTGCAAGCTTGAGCTCGTGCCCAAACCGACCATCGGGCCTGGGTCTTGAACTCGAGCATAGCCCTTATATAGAGCACGAAGCTCGAACCCGAGCCCGAAGCCTGATTTGTACACAAAATGTCTTATTTTCAGTATACTTTTTTAAACTAATATTATATTAATTTAGTAATAATTTAATAAATAAATAAACTAATTTATATTTTCTAATAGTAAATTGATATTTATTAATAATTTAAGAAGCATATATATATATATATATTATATTTATTATATATAACATAAGTACTATTTTATATATGTAATAGTATTGGGCTGGGCTTATTTGAGAAAGCCCGAGCTCAAGCCCACAAGCCTAAAATTTTGTCCAAGCCTGAAAAATAACGAGTCAGGTCGAGTCGGGCCGTGGAGTAGTGAAGCTAGCTACCTGGCTCACGAATAGGTTTAATTGTATATATAAACAATTGTATACATCAAAAATCATATGAAATAAAAATTTAAACATCTTTTTCATTTTTTTTTTAAATGGACCTCTCATAGCTTGGCCCAGTCCGCAGCCTGGCTTGACCCAAAGCTCGACCCAACATGACTTGATTTACATCTCTATTTAAGCCCGCCCACTACTGGGGACGAGGCGGGGAAATTCAAGGATTCCCCATCCTTGATGAGGAGTGGGGTGCCTTGCCCTTGAACTCGCCTGACATTGAGGAGTGGTTGCCTTGCCTTGAACCCGCCTGACACTAGGGATGGGGCGGGGATGGGGTAAAGTGTCTTGACTATGTAATAATTGTTAATTATAACAATTATAATTAACAATTATAATTGTTAATTGTTAGTGAACCCACCCTATTGTCATTCCTATATAATTGTTAATTATTAGTGAAATTAATAAAAATGTTAACTTTTGTTATTATTTTTATCTATTTAAAGTTAATCAAAATTTTAATTAAAAATAATAAAAATTATTAAAATTACTATAAATTATTAATAAAACTAAATTTATTAAAATATATTTGTTCATATTAAATTAGCAATAATTATTTTCTATAGATCAACATTAAATGAAAATACAATTATTAAAATTTTAGAAATGAACAACTTTGAATATTTTATTTAATTAACAACAAACTTTGATTATTAATTTAATATTAATTAATAGTAAATAAAATTATTAAATCTTTCAGATTTTCCCGTGCATTGCATGGGTGCCCGCTAGTAGAAATGAAAACAAAAGTTTTTTGAGAGAAATTTTTCAGAGAAGGAGAAAATTGTTCTCTGTCTCATCCTTGGTGGTGGAGCAACAACACAACTAATCTTACCACCACCACTTGTGAAGTAGACAGGGTGTTCCCCTATAAAAAATGAAAACAAAAGATTATTGAGAGAATTCTCTCTTATCTTAAGTATTCCTCTTCTAAAAATTAATAAAAAATGATTGCTCACCCCAAATCCTATTTTTATCTTTTCGTTTGCCAACCAAAAATTTGACCCCATTTTGATTTTTTCATATTTATATGTTTTTTTTTTCTTTTTTTTCTTTCTCCCTAATTCGAACATTTGCTATAAAAAATTAAGATTATTTTGTCATATTTTATAAAATATTATAATATTTATTTAATTAATATAATTTATAATATTACTATTTTTCTCTTTAACATCAATTTTTTATTTTTAGTTATATTATTTATTAATTTATTTTATTTTTTTTTAATTTGTTATCATTTTCATTCGTTGATTTACCATTTTTTTTTACTTTTTAGACTTGGACTTCTGATTTGCCAAATGCCACCAAGTCTCCCTCCTCAATATTTTTTATAACTTAAGACTCTGAGTCCAAGTAGAAGTTTCCTAATCACTTTCCTAGCTGATTAGGAAAGCTACAAATTAGCAAGCAATCCTAAGAAACTTAGTATAAGAGAGATCTAGTTAGTTTCTCTACTTTAACCTTTTTTTCCAACAAACTAATTACCTAGTCAAACTAGATAACTTTCTAGTCGATTAGGAAATTGAAAACAAATTTGAATCTTAAGCAATCCTATTCTCTCATAACTTTGATCAACTATTGAACGTTATTATTGTATGTCATTGGACCCACATAGATCTCAATTTAAACCAAAAGGGTTCAGTGCATATATTAAAATGCACATGGGCAAAGTGTGGCATTGGACCCACATATATTTCAATTTAAATCAAAAGGTTCAGTACATATATTGAAGTGCACATGGGCAAAATTCACTAGGTCAAACTAGTGCCCAAATTTGGCATAACATTATGTTATAACCGAGAAATGCCCATTAGGTTGTTAGCCCAACTAAACATTTGTAGTTAATTTCCCAACTAATAATATTCAAACACTATCAATAAGGTACAATTTCTTCCCTGACTATACATAGTATCACACTCTCAATTCATATGAATCCTGTGATTAAAACCATTTTATATAAATTCTTTATCAAAATAAGCTATTTATAACTATAAGCACATTTTACAAAACCGATTTCAAAACAAGTTGAAATTCACTATTGGCAGCTTGAGGTTTCCATCAAAGAGGGTACTATCATATTTTCTGTCTTACTAAGTTGTTGATTCTATCACAATGATGAATAAATACTCATTCAAGTACCTTTCCAATCTTCTCCAATATACCCCGGTAAATTATTGGTATTTTATCCCAGAAGCATTTTAACTTCTTTTTATCATATCAAAAGTAGGCTAGTTCAATATTATTGTAGTATCACCATCAAGCAATTTCTTTACCTTACTCTTGATTTCATCTCTTGTTACTATCCCATTTTCGTCTCTCTCCAAATCTAAACCAACCCTCCTAACGTCACAAATCAAGTGTTTGTTAAAGAACTGATCGGCAAATTGAGGCCAACATAGAAAGGGAACCCCCACGCTTAAACCATCCATTATCGAGTTCCAACCACAATGGCTTAAGAAACAGGCAACAGAAGGGTGACCCAGAACCTTTTGTTGAGGAGCCCAACTCACTCTCTTTCCACAATGAGCTACTCCATCCCTAAATTCATCTTGGTTTCTGGTAGACCCCTTCATGAAATCTGGCCGAATAACCCATATGAATGGCGTAGCGGCAAGCTGGAGCCCAGCTGCTAGTTCATCAAATTGGCGCTGGCTGAATGTTGCAAGGCTTCCAAAGGCAACATAAATGACGGAGCGGGCAGGTTGATGGTCTAGCCAGCTTATGCAGGTGGAATCCTCCTGCCAGAGGCTTCCGATTGTTCCCCCAGGTAAGACGCTTGAAAGCAGTGGACCTACAGGAAGGCTCTTGATGGGAATCAAGTCACAGAACCACGGGTCCAGCTCGTAAAATGAGTTACAAAGGACCCAGTCACAAAGTTTGGTAACATTTTTCGTATCCAATGTTGCTTTGAAAATGATACTTTGCATGGTTGGATCCTCTGTCCAGTTCCACAATAAATCAGTTGTGCTAATGGCTGGCATGCTTGGAGACAACCGGATCATTTCATTCTTCAAAACAGTTCCTGTAAACAAATCCAAATCATAGTAAACTTAGAAACCGTAGGATGAATCGAGGAACCATAATATCAATTTAAAGCGGACCACTCCTTTTCAATTGTGATACACGGTCATATTAAGTAATTCAACCATAGATTAATTAAAGGAATACTTCACGGTCATATATATATAAAACAATAATTTTTAGGGTAAAAGACTTCAAAAACTAAGTTTTTAGTTTATGAAAACATAAACTAAGTTTTCATAAATTCATTTAAACATACCTTAAGTTTTTCAAATAAACTTAAATATGCCTTGTGGGTTGACCCCAGTAGATTTAAATATACCCTCATTTCTTTTCCCATGAATCTCTTAATATTCTAAAAATCCTATTTTACCCTTTGAAGAGAATAGACACGCAATATTGCTCCTTTTTACAACCCAACATAATGTGATAGCTCAAGGATCTTGCTCTATTTTGTTTAACCCAGTTCTCTTTTGCAACTGTATATTAGTTAGCTGAGAACAGGATGATGGTAACACTTGGTGCTATTATAGGAGAGTTGATAGTGATTAAGTAGATTCATTTAATTGATGGAGAAAGAGAGCGGTTTTAGTTGTGGGAAACCAGGGTAGTTCTTGGAGAGGAGGAGAAATATGGAGAAAAGATAAAGAGAAGTAGAGAGAGAGAGAGGAAGAAAGCGGTGGTGCTCTGCTTCCAATAACTCTTCCTTTGAGGGTTAGTTGTAGCGGTAAAAGAGGGGATGGTTAGAGGACATGGAAAGAAGGAGAGAGAGAGAGAGAAAATGGAGTCGAATGATAGACTATATTCTTTCTTAGACACCTTTATTTGTATGTAGAAGGATTTTCCTTTCTCTGAATTCTCATCGACTTTTTCCCTCCATCTTTTACAATGAAAATGGATTAACTAAGAAGACACTTCTCTCTCTCTCCCTCTCTCTCTATCCTACCTTTGAGAAAAACATGATCACGTCATCCAAGATCGGTGAACTCTCACATATTCCTGTTCAACTTTATCTCATATAAATCAGAACCCATCAATGACTGTAATTGCATGATGGCAAACCATTAATGTTTCAAATTGAGCATCTGTCGAGCCATTTTATACTATGTGGTTCTCTTTGAAAATTTGAAATATAATAAAGAGTAAAAAAGTCTTTTATGACCACATGGTATATTTAAGTCTATTTAAAAAACTAAGGGTATCTTAAAGTCAATTTATGAAAATTGAAGGTATATTTAAGTCTTTTGTCTTAATTTTTATCTGACTCGGATTTTAATTGAATCAGAAGGGGTTAAATACGCATCCAATCGAATTATTAATTAGATGCAAGTTTTAACATCCAAATCTGGGATAATCAGATTTGGAGTCAAATTGGGTATCAGACTTTTAGAGTGTATTGACTCCCCTAATCACTAGTGATGCAGCGCGATCCGGGCACTCCTAGCTGGCGGAAACCTAGCTCCTAACTGATGACGGACGGTACCTGAGAAGAAGAGGGTGGTGAAGAATTCTCGGGGAGCTCGCCCGACGGGAACACTCTGACGATCAAGTTAGAGCTCTGAGAGAACTGTAGAGAATGCAAAGAAAGAGCTAAGAGTGCAGAAGGCGCAAGTTCAGTACCTTTGTTCCTTGGGCATCGGGGTTCTTTTATATTGGAGCTCTGTCAAATCAGGAGTAACCGCCTTTGCCGCAACCGTTACTGCCAGAGCTGAGGTGGCGGGTGCAGGCAGCCGTTGCAGGGTACGGACCCGTCAAGCGTGCCACATCTCTCAGAAATGGCAGGCACGACGCCACTTGACGAGGGACGTGAGCGCAGCCTCCAAATTCGGCAGGTACGGCTGTCAGGCGGATCTTTCCTGTAGGTTGCTGAGCTACTTTGCATCGAACTACCTTGGACCGAACTACCTTACACCGAAGCGACAGGGTGTGCCAAGGTGCTTACACTTGGGGTGGGCCTTAGGCAAGTTCGGACGGGAGTGTTAACGGTGCTGACTCGAAGTGTTTCTACCTCGGGATACTTAGCCGAAGGTCGGGGTGTTCCCTTCTCAGGAAGGAAGAGCTCGAGGTTCATTAGGAGGAGCTCAGGTCTCAAGAGGAGCTCGGGACTCCTTGCATGGAGGGAGCTCGGGGTGCTCCACCCTTGGAGAGAATTCGGGGTAAGTTGCGTCTTGCTTTTCGGCAAGTTGCCACATCCACCGAGTTGTTTGGCCGGGCTCCGGCGAGTTCGTTACGTTGAGTTATGGCCAGGCTGTCACGCTGAGTTGTCACCTATGCCAGGTCATGCCCACGTGTCCCCATGCTACAAGGTCGGGCCAAATCACCCTCCATCAATTGCCCCCCACTCCCCATGCTAGGGGTTCTGACCCAGCGCGGGGAGTTCGCGGTGTGTCAGGTGGATTTGGCTCGGAGCTTAGGCCTTCTTGTTAGACAGCTCATTGGTCGGACCAGTTCACTGCTCGGCTCAATCAAGAGCAACCCAGGTCACGTACATTTCATGCGCGGATGTCACATGATCTATAGGCTCCGTCGATGTCAAAAAACATGCTAAACTGATTTCGCCTCGAGGGTCGCGTAGCCGGTTTTCTTGAGATCCGTCAGATCGTCTTGATCTTGACCATTGATGCCCGAGTACAGTGGCTATAAATAGCAGGGATCCTGGTCATTTTTCCCTCTCCATAAGCTATCAGCATTCGTTTTGAGCTCGCGTCTAAGGTCTCTAGCTCGGGTCAATTTTCCCTAGTTCGGTAGCTTTCCCTTGGTGAGTCCCCTTAGCTTTTCTTAGCTTCCTTATTTCTTCCAGTTCGTTTCTCTCAATCATGTCTAGCTTTGATAGTCAACTAGATGTCCCCGAGGTGGGTACCTCGGCTCAGGGTAGCCCTACCGAAGTCCAGTCTCACGAGGTGCGGGAGGCCTCGGGTAATCTGGCATCCACCTCTTATCGAGGTCGGATGCTAGATAGGTTCGGTCCTTCCATCATTACCCTGGAGAGGCCCCGGTATCTTATCCAATAGTACAATCTCCCCAGGGAGTATAGTTATAGTCTGCCCGCGGGTACCTTCCCTTGGGAGCACGGTCCTGATGAGATCGTGATCTTTAGGGAGCAGCTCATAGTCGGGCTCCGCCTTCCTCTTCACCCCCTCATTGTGGAGGTCTTGAACCACTTTAATGTCACAATAGACCAGCTTCATCTGAACTCCATTCGTAACGTGGTCGAGACCATTTCCCTCTGGTTTGATTACGTCCTCCCTTTAGACTTAGATATTTTTTGTTCAATTCTGTCCATAAAGAAGAGCACTTCAAGCGTTCTCCCCGAGCACAGGCGGGCCTACTATCTGTCTCCTCGCCCGGGCTACAAGTTGTTGCATAAGCTTCCTAGCAAAGTCCCAACTTGAAAACAGGACTACTTTGTAGTTCGGAACACCGCGGGGTGGCCCTTCCCTACTCATTGGAGGGCGGCTATTTAGGACCCCGTTATTATATTGGACAAGGATACAAGGGAGACGCTCCCGTCATGGGCTGAACTCGGGTTTGATTAGAAAGATTATATCGCCGAGAGCAAGCTCATTCAGGCTGGCTTAATCCCGGGTAAGTCGTCTTACATGGTACCTTAGTCATTTGTCTTGTACTTTCTGAGTTTACTAATGCCAAGCTCTATTGCAGGTCCCATGGAAGCAGAGAAGCTTAAGGGGGAGAGGCTTTTCAGTCACATGAAGGGGAGGAAGAAGCGAGCTGCCAAGAGGGCTCACGTCGAGTCTCCGCAGGCCCCCACCCCTGAGCTCAAGCTTCCGCAGGCCCCTACCTCTGAGCCTGAGCTTCCCGATGCACCTACGATCATCGATTTGGAAGAGATCTTACCACCTTGGGAGCCTGAGACATCGGCAGAGCCTGCTCCAAAGGCAACTATGGAGCCCGAGATCACCACCGAGGTCGCCGATGGGACAACTGAAGCATCCGTCGAGCCCATTCGCGCAACCGAGATGGCAATTTCCAGCTCAGGAAGTCAAGAGGGAGCCCGGAGCATCCTGATCCCTCAGTGTAGCCTTCGAAAGAGTAAGGGGGCTGCCTACGCCGAAGAGGTCTCCGACTGGGCCAACCTCATTCCTGCTCAGCTCGGAGCCCGAGCTGCCACCCACACAATGGTGGTAAGTTCTCCTTTTTTTTTTGTCATTACCTCTTCCGTGATAACTGACCTTCTCTTGTCAGATGAACTCCATTGTGCACACCTTGATCGTTCAGTCTGAGAGGCACCTGAAGCGGGCTCTGGCTGCCGAGGACTCGGCTCACGCAGCTCATACCGATCTGAGGGCAGCTCGCGGTCAAATCCATCGGCTGGAGAGTGATGCTATAGCTCAGAAGAACGTCATCGAAGCAGTGATGGCAGAGAAAGAAGAGTTGGCACGCGAAAGGGACGTGCTGAGGAGCGAAGTGAACGCCCTCAAGGCAGAGGCGGAAGGCCTCAAGGAGGATAAGGGAGCCCTGAAGCATGAGGTGGAGTTCCTTGAGGCTGATATTGAGGAGAAAACCGAGATCTTCACCCAGGCCATAGAGGAGACAAAGGTCAAGGCTGTTATGGACTATGTCAAATCAGACAAGTTCGATGCCGTGCTGGGGGAGGCCTATCGTAAGGGCTTCAAACTTAGCAGGTGGTTGATAAGGCATAAGTACCCCGAGCTTGACTCAAGTGCCATCACCACTTCACGGATCACGAATGACATAGTCTGTTACACTACAGAGGATCGAGATTCCGAAGAGGAGGATGGCGACGAAGAGGTAGATGTCACCGACCTGGTTGAAGCTCCTGAGTAGAAACGACGAGCCCCCGAAATAGTTGTCCTTGTACTATGAGCCTACGAGCTCAGCTTTAGTTTCCTTTTTTCTTTTTTTTTTATCGAGCTCAGTGTATAGAATTCTCCATCAATGAAATTTGCTTTTGCAAAGTTTTGTCACTTTTATTCTTTTGCCGAAATGATTGCTTTATCCGAGCTATCAGAGTTAAGTGCCCGAAGTAGGGTTTCTCAACTATCGTCACCCCGAACTGTCTCCCAGTATTTTGTAGGGGTGATTTTTATAACGTACACCAAGGTGAGTGACATAGTAAGGCATATGCCCGACCTGTCTACTTCTAGGTTACATGAATTGATAGTTGTCCCTAGCGGGTCCAACCTGTTGCATACCGAGGTGGGCTATGCACCATAGGGTTCACATCCGAGCTGCCTGCGTCCTTAGCATACTAGCTCGGCGTTAGATCATATATAGTGCTGAGGTCCTTAGTTAGCTCGGCGTTTTAGCCCTTACGCTGGGGGAGTGACTTATAGTCACTCTTCTTGAGTCTGCCCATGCCGAAGAGGCGATTGGGTCTTATAGTGCTGAGGTCATTGTCAGCTTGGCATTTTGGCCCTTAGGCTCAGAGAGCGACTTGTAGTCCACTCAGTTCGGTAGTTTATAGGTAATACTGCCTTAAGTCGACAATATTCCATGCTCGAGGTACTTGTTTCCCTTCTAGGGTTTCGAGCTCGTATGTACCTTACTCAAGCACCCGCTTTACTCGGTAGGGTCCTTCCCAATTCGGCCCGAGCTTACCAACATCGGGCTCAGGCGCCATAACTTTTCGAAGAACCAAGTCTCCGACGCGGAGGTTCCGCTTCTTGGCCCTGGCATTGTAGTACCGAGCTACTCTCTGCTAGTAGGCCGCGGTCCTGATATATGCGAGGTCCCGTACTTCGTCAAGTAGGTCGAGGTTGGTTCGTAGCTCGTCTTCAATTGCCTTGTCATCATACGCTTCTAGTCGTAGCGTGGGAACCTCGATCTCAGCAGGGATGACTACTTCGTTGCCATACATGAGGTTGAAGGGGGTCTCACCTGTTGCGGTCTTCAGTGTGGTCCGATAAGCCCATAATACGTTGGGCAGCTCGTCTGCCCATAGTCCCTTAGCTCGGTGCATGCATGCCTTTAGTTCGTGGAGGATAGCTCTGTTCGTGACTTCCGCTTGACCGTTTGCCTGAGGGTGTGCCACCGAAGTGAAGTTCTGTTGAATTCCCTTTTCTTGGCACCAGTTCTGGAATTTAATGTCCTCGAACTGCTTACCGTTGTCAGAGATCAGCACCTGAGGTAGTCCGAAATGGCAGACTATGTTCTTCTAGAAGAAATTCTGCACATTTCGCGCCGTGATTGTTACGAGAGGTTCAACTTCTACCCACTTAGTGAAATAATCAACTACCACCACTAAGAACCTCCTCTGGCCTGTCGCTGGTGGAAACAGTCTGAGTATATCGATCCCCCATTGTGCGAAAGGCCACGGACTGGTGAGATACTTGAGGTCGGCAGCAGGCTGATGGTGGATATTAGCGTGCTTCTAGCACTTGTCACATCTTCTGACGAGCTCGGTCGCGTCTGCCTTCATCGTTGGCCAGTAATACCCCTGTCGCAGTGCTTTCTGTGCGAGAGCCCTGTTCCCCAAGTGTCCGCCGCACAGGCCCTCATGAGTATCGTGAAGGACGAGCTCGGCCTCAGAGGGTCGCAAGCAGCGCTGATAGGGGAGCGTGTAGGATCTTCGGTACAGCCGTCCGTCTATCATGATGTATTTGGCTGTCTAACGCTCTACCCTTCTGACAGCATTACAATCTGCAAGGAGGGTTCCGTGCAGCAGGAAGCTCGCGAGCAGATCGATCCAGCTCAGCTCTGCTTGAACGATGGGAGTGACCTCCTCTGCCCCCCCGAGAATGCTAGGCCGAGGTAAGTTCTCTATATACACGGTTCTCATGGTGTTATCACTGGTGCTGGCTAACTAGGATAGGGCATCGGCCTTAGCGTTCTTTGATCTCGAGACCTGCCGGATGAAGCGTGACTAGAAGTTAAGTAGAGCCAGTAAGTGATCATGACTGGCTCACGAGCTTCGTACTCACCCGTAACCTGGTTGACCACAATCTGAGAATTACTGCAGATGACAATGTGTTTGGCTTTCAGTTCGTTTGCTAGAGCCAGCCCGGCTAGTAACGCCTCGTACTCCGCTTCATTTTTGGATGTCGTGAACTCGAAGCATAGTGCATACTCCAGTTTCACACCACTTCGTCCGTACAGAACGATCCCAACTCCACTGCCCTGTTGGTTTGACGAGCCATCTACGTGAAGGATCCAGGGCTCCTCATCCCAGTTCGCGCTTGGTCTAACTAGGAGAGATGCCGCACTGGTTGCTACTTCACGGTGCTCGAGCTCAACCGGCCTGGGAACTTCGGTCTCGCCCGAGCTTGGGGCCTCGTGTTCGATCGGCCTGGGGACTTCGGAGCAAAAGGTGCATTCTGCGACAAAATCTGCTAAGGCTTGGGCCTTGATAGCAGTTCGCGGTTTGTATTGGAGATCGTACTCGCTGAGCTCGATGGCCCACTTCGTAAACCTACTAGAGACATCGGGCTTGAGCAGGACTTGCTTCAAAGGTTTGTTGTTAAGGACGATGACAGTGTGAGCTTGGAAATACGGACGAAGCTTCCTAGCTGCAATGACTAGCGCATACGCCAATTTTTCAATCTCCAGATACCTCGTTTCTGCTCCCTGCAACACTTTGGTAACATAGTAGATAGGTCACTAGACCCGATCTACCTCTTTTATCAGTACCGAGCTGACCACCTCGTCACTTGCCGAGAGGTACAGCTCCAAAACATCACCCTCCTCGGGTCAAGTTAAGACCGGTATACTGGCGAGGTACCTTTTGAGCTCGTCGAATGCAAGCTGGCACTCTTCAGTCCATTCGAAGCCTTTGCCTTTAATTGCCTTAAAGAAAGACAGGCAGCGATCTGCCGATTTGAATATGAAGCGACTCAGAGCGGCTATATGGCCATTCAACCTCTGAACCTCCTTCAATTTCCGGGGTGGTCTCATATCTAGGATAGCCTTAGTTTTATCCAGGTTAGCCTCAATGCCGTGCCGGTTAATGATGTACCCTAAGAATTTACCCGAGGTGACACCGAAGACACACTTATTCGGGTTCAATTTCATGTTAAATTTACGCAGAATTTCAAAAACTGAATGCAAGTCTTGTATTAAATCATGCGAAAATTGGGTTTTGACGATCATGTCGTCTACATAACATTCTATTTTTCTACCAATCAATGGCTCAAATAATTTATTTACAAGTCTCTGAAAGGTTGCCCCGACATTTTTTAGCCCAATGGGCATGACCTTGTAACAGTATAGG